TCTCTTCACTGCTGTCTTGATTTCAGTGTGTCCGTCTTCATGCCTCTCTTGCACGCCACTCCTTCTTCTTAGTGCTGCTCTTATTCTCTCCTAGCTTTGTGAAGAAACTTTCAGGACTTTCCTTTCATCTACTTCCTGAGTGTAGAGTCAACCAACCTATCACCTTCCTTCCTAACATGACCTCCGGGATCACCCTTATTTCTAGCATCCATACTAGAATCAGACTGATTTTATACTTTCAATCTTGGCATCTTTGTTTCTCTAAGCCTTCCTTCTGGCTTCTCGATCATCAACAACCCACCATCTTTCAAACTCTAGTTCAACAGCTACTGCGTTCCTGAAACAGCTCAGGCCTCGTTGAGCTTCACTTTCTGTGAACCTCACTAATCTCAGTTGGTCGCACCATCATTGCCTTAAACTCACTCATTGCCATTGAGTAGATTCTGACTCATAGTAACCTTATCCCCATGAGTCTCCAAGACTGTAACTCTTTACAGGAGTAGAAATCTCCATCTTTCTCCCATGGGTCAGCTGGTGGTTTTGAACTGCAGACCTTGGGACTAGCAGTCCCATACATAAGATCTCCTCTCATTGTCCCACACAGTCACTAATTGTCATCTTGTCTCTCCGACTTGATTGTAAACTCTTAGTTCAAAGACATGCTGCTTCCTGTGCTTTGAGCCAGTTGGTTCATTGGAAACAATGAGAAAAGAACTAGATTGTGGAATTCAAATATGCTTTTCTTTTAATTCCCAGAAAACTGTCATGGGAGATGCCTCAGACGCTACTCTCTTGAAATTCTCGGAGGTCATATTGGGCGACGTGATGGAAATTAGGAAAAGAAACCGTAAAGTAGTCGAAATCCCCTTCAACTCCACCAACAAATTCCAGGTGAGTTTTCCCTCACAGTTGGCCCTTTGCTACCACCAGAATGGCATTTCTATGTGCACGTAACCTTTGCATCATTCTTAGTCTAGAAAATCCCTGACTTCAAAAGTAGTGCTCAGTAGTTTGAAAATATTTTCTGCTTTCTCTTCTATCGAGGTTTTTATCTGTTTTACTTTGTTATTCTTGTTAGTTGTGGTTTGTTTGTCTTTTAATGTTTGCCTATATATGAAATCCGGGATAGGTCAATCTATAGAGACAGTGACTGGTCGAATGGTTCCTGGGGGGTTGTATGTATAGAAAGGGAGACTGGAGGGAGATGGGGAGTGAATTACTATTAGTATGGGGTTGTATATATAGCAGGGAGATTGGAGGGAGATGGGAGTGAATTACTATTAGTATGGGGTTGTATGTATAGCAGGGAGA